ACCTTGAGCTGCAACCTACGAATGTTTGGCATGCGATTCGCTTCCGCCAAATGCAAGATGATGTTACAGGATTGGACTACAACGACTCCTAGTTTAGAAAAAGGGAGTGAAGTGGTAGAGCACGTTGACCGCTTCACTTATTTGGGAAGTTGCATCAGCCAACGCCAGTGGGTTGATCGCTAACGAAATTTCAGTACGGATACAGAGGGCTAGTTTCGCATATGTCAGTTTACGCCGTCTCTGGAGTAGACGTGATGTCTGGCTGCCTATCGACCAAAGGGCGGGTGTACTGCTCAGCAGTCCGCTCCGTCCTCCTTTATGGCTAACTGTGAGACCTGGCCATTGAGAGCAGAAGACATGAAAAGATTAGCTGTCTGCCTGCGTTCTATCTTCCGTGTGAAGTGGTAGGTGTAATAAGGTGAGCAATATTGAGGTAAGGCATCGGTCGAGTGCTAGGTAAGGAGGGGAAATCAATCGACGAGGTTGTTAAGTAACACCGATTGAGATGGTTAGGACATGTGTTACGTATGCCTAGTCGTCAATCTCCTTCCTCGACGGGCAATGTTAGCTGATATAGGGTCAGGCTGGAAAAGAGCTAGCGGCGGGCAAACCAAAACAGGGCTTCATCAGTCAATGGAATCCACAACAATTAGTTTAAGCGAGTCAGTCACGTACGAAGGTGTAGACTTCCTGACTGGTTGGGGTCCTCGGGACGGTAAAAACTAATGGTTGGAAACAATTGGTGACATGGCTCAAAATCGTTCTCAATGGCTGGCGCAGATCCATCCACTCCTTGTGACTTATGATTTCCAATGAAACCGTTTTGTTCTTCGTTATTACTATTCCTTTGTCTCACACCTCTGTTTACTGTCTATATTATGCGTTTCTTCTACCTTCTGCTCTTGCTTTGTGTGGTACATGGAGGGAGTGTGGCGACTTGAACTGCTGCACATCGGTGCAAAGTTCTATGTCGAAAACAGACAGAAGTTTATCAGATTCCTAAATTACAACCATACCATCACGATGTAGTTTTTTTTTGACATTCTAAATAGCTTAACTGTACTTGATTTCTATAATAGGTAAAATGGTAAGAATGTTTTAATCATAAGGTGAAAGAAAAAAAGGGAAATTGTTCGATGGATAACTTACTTGTTGAACCAAACTTTGAACATTCGACGTATTCGAGGAATTCGTGCTCATTTGTTCTAACTACAATAATATCAATAATAGTAATAATAAAATATAAAGTTTAATACAGTAAAACGCATAGAAGGTCATAATACATTATCTCAGTTACTCGAAACACTCAGAGGGAGTGAGAGGAATAGTCGGCAAATAAGAGAAAATAGTGCGTCGGTGGCATAGCGGTTAGGACTCTCGCCAACCATGCATATGGTCCGGGGTTCGATCCCCTGCCACCAACGCACTCCTTTACTTCGCTAAGCCAGAAATAATGCTGGTGAAGAGGAAAGGTTCGGCATGAGGGTCTAGCAACCCCATCCTGTAAAAATAAACGAAACCACTGCTACAGAAACTTCAAGCTACTAGCTTGAAGCCCTATGTTCCACTGGGGAACGTGAAGGAAAAGAAAGAGAAAATAACTGTGGAATAGTGAATAGTTAATAGCAGAGGGAATTTAACAAGTTTCAACTTATGAAAACATGAGGAAGTCTACTGAGACAGAGCTTTAGGAAGTTACAGCTAGACAGCTAGTTAAACAAAATGTTTAGAGTATTTGTGGGTTCTAATTTTGGTGATAGTCAACAGATACACTAAAGCCTATATCTTTTGAATTTTGGATAGTTTATCATCTCCGACTTGTTATTATTACATGGTTGGAGGTCTTCGACCTAGGTTTCGTGTTTTATGGCACTCACCGGTAAGCAGTGTCTACAATCATGAAGGAACTCATGTTCGAACCAATGTCACATACTGCTACAGTCGGAGACGCTACCGATGAGCTATTCGTGTTCGCTGCTGCATGCCCATTTTGACTTTTAAAGCAATTAGTTCTATTTATGAATGTCGACAACACAATAAGAAGACGTAGTTTACCTGAAACGTGTATAATGTATTGGTGCAACACATTTCGGACATTCTGATCACACATTTGTCATACTTGTCATACGCAGTTTTTATAGAAGGCAAGAAGGCATGAATAATTACAATACAGGTCAGACTGTGTACAGGTCAAGTTCACAAATAATGGGTAGGGAAACGCAAAGGTGTGGGTAAGAAAGAGAAAAAGCAAAGCAAAGAAGGGGTTGAAAATGTGAAGTAAATTGGTCCTTGGTAATCCAATTTAGAACCAAGGACCAATTTACTTCACATTTTCAACCCCTTCTTTGCTTTGCATTTTTGTGCAACTTTTTAGCCTCATTCTCTTGGATGCAAGTTTTAACGTATCCTACAGTAACATAAATAGTTAACTGTTCATATTTTTCAGCGCACCTTGACAGTAATTCAGAGGAATTAAAGAATGTTTTCTGTCCATGAGAAGCTAATTTAGGGCCTGTTGTAGGAGACGCACGTCTCCATTCAGTTCGGTTCTCTGCTAAAGTTTTCACCTGGCTCCAAGTCTGCCCACATGTTTTCATCTCCTCTTCACATGACCTCCTCCAAGTCACCCTTGCACCGACGACGAACTCGCTGCTTCCCTTTCGGTTTCCACTCGACTGCTTGTCTAATGATGTCACTTGATGGTTTCCTCAGAGTATGGTCAAGCGAATCCACCTCCATTTCTTCCTGCCTATTTGTTGCACAATCGGTTCCTGGTCGGTTTGCTCCTGCAGGTCCCTATTGCTGATCTTTTCTGGCCGGCCATCTGATCTTGAGCTAAGTATTGAGCGAAGACAACCGTTGATGAAGGTCTGTAGTTTGTTTGAGATGCTCTTTATGACGCGCAGTGCAAGTCTCTGATCCGTATAGTAGGTAGCACTGACTTCACATTGGAGTTGAAAATCCGGATCTTATTTTTCATGCTGAGGAGTGCTGTTGACCTCCACACAGACTTGAGAGTAGTGAAAGCTTGTCTTGCTTTCTCGATAATCCTCGCTTTGATATCCTCGTCAGTTCTGTCGCCTGTAGTTGAAAAGATGCTTCCCAGGTAGGTAAAGGAGTTTGTTTTTTTCAGGTTCCTCCCATTTATGCTGATTGTTGTCTGTTGTTGTTGCCTAGGAATCTTCATCACCTCTGTTTCCTCTATGTTCACTCGAAGTCCTATCTTTGATGCTTCTTCTGACAACTTGTTGCTTTTCACTTGCATATCTTCCAGTTTGTGGGAAATCAGACATATATCATCGACGAATTCCAGATTCTCCAAGTTGGCTTTTGTGTGGGTCCATTTTATGCCTGTTTCTCCTATGAAGTAGGATTCGATTAATGTATTTCACATTGCTGATTTATCACGAAAGGTTTTCGTAAATAAATAGGTTTTGTTGTTAGAAGGAGTCAGAAGACCTTGAAAGACAAAGAGGAAGAGAGAGTAACGTTAATCGAGATTAAGGTGTGCAGGATGGATACCGGTAACTCTTAAACGAAGACATGGTCATTTAATTCAATCAGATAGAAATATGTGTGAGTGATAATTTGACTTACCAAGTGAAGTAAATTAGCCACTCTTGCTTGATATTCAGCATTTTCAAATCGTAGCATACGAACCAAAGCTTTATACCTTTCGATCTCACTCTGTAAGCGTTAAGTAAGCAGTGAAAAGAGAATAAATTGAAAGATATTATACAGTATGTTTAGCATTACATATATACCTTGTCAAGCTACAAAAGAAGGGCGACTTACACCTCTGCAGGGACTGGCGTGGAATAATGCTCTTCTCCATGCCAAGTAAAATATTAAGTCGCATCATCCTGGAGGGAATAAATATGCACTGGATATAGAACTCCGCCGCAACGACCAGAACAAACTGGATTCAGGAAAGACGAATCATGCGCCGATCAAATTGCAGCTCTATGCATCATCGTAGAACAAAACATGGAATGGCAGTCAAATCTCTACCTCAATTTCACTGAATTTGAAATAGCCTTCGATAGGGTTGACCGAGAAGTAATTTTGAAACTACTTCAACACTGCCGCGTACCTCAATTCTTTATCAACATTATTCAACACCTGACTAGATGACAGCGGCACGTGTCAGGTGGTCCACAATGAAAAATTCAGTGAGGCTTTCGAAGTGAATACAGGAGTAAGACAGGGCTGTCTATTATCACCGATGATATTCTTAATTGTGTTCGACTAGATTTCGCGTCAGAATGTGGGGAGTGGAGAAACAGGGATATGCTGGACAGCCGATGAGAAGACTGTAGAAGATCTAAAATTTTGCACGGGGATAATATATGTCTAATGTCACACAAACTCAAAGAATTATAGGCGAAAACCAACAAACCTGCTGAAGAAGCAAACAGCGAAGACAAGTCTACCAGTGAACATAGAGAAGATGGATGTAGTGAACATAACCAACCATCGCCAACAGCAACAACAACCAGCACCAATAACCATCAACGAGAGGAGTTTGAAAGAATTCACTTTCTTTCACTTATGTAGAAACCATTGTTTCACCTAAGAGCAGCACGGACAAGGATGTCAAAACCACGAACAAAAAGGCAAGGAAGACATCCATTTATCTGCAATCAGTGCTGAAATCTTCAACATTCGGATTCTCATCGCCAATGTGAAGTCAGTGAATGCTTCAATATGGCTCAGAAACTAGGTGCGTCAGGTAAAGCATTTCCAACAGGTTGCTACAAATTTTTATCGACAGCAGCCTTCTCTATCTCCATACTGAAGATCAGATGGCAAGCCAGAAGGGATTAGCAACAAGGAACTATATGAACAATCCAACCAAGAACCTTTTGTCCAACATATATATGATTTAAGAAATGTAGAGTGACTGAACACACTATGAGATGATAGTTGAGTGACATCGTGTACGACTAGGCCACTGAATGGAATCCGAATAAGAAACAGCGAATCGGTTGTGTGCCCAAGAATTACATGGAAGAGATCGTTTTAGGAGGACACGGAAATATATGGCCAATCATGGGACCAGGTAAACAGAACTGCACAGAACAGGATGAAATGGAGATGTTTTGTAGGAGGCCTATGTTCCATTCGGAGCCAAAGGGAATTATATATATATACATATATACTCCTGTTTTTTGTCGATAAAAGGAATTTCCATCTGAAAAGACTGGATTTTAGTGAGTAAAGAGAAGTATGTTGAAAACTTTATTCTTCCAGCAGTGAAATTCAACCCGATGCACACCAGGGAATCAGATAGCTTGTGTGTTTTTGGAAAGAATATGTTTGCAGTTAAACTGTTTCAGGAAAGCGTTTTACATGATTATTGGTTACATTATCTAACGTCTCTCTGACTGTGACCCTCTAGATGATGACTTTCACGACAACCAACAATATCTCTAGATCTGCCTTCGAACTGATTCTCAGTTTAGTGTCAATAAAAACGAATTCAGTCTAGCTACCATGCAGATAAATAACGTTTCCCTATTAGTTAGATACTTCACATCAGTTTATCCTTGGTGAATAAAATGAATTAAGGTAGCGCTTATAACCGTACCAGTAATCCACAAAATTAGTAGATTGAAGGTTAGTTATTTGAATTTGCGTACGACCATATTCCTCTCCACTTCTGTCATCATGGTATATGCATATTGTAAAATTATTTGAATAATGAATTTACGTTCTAACTATATGCAGTTGAGTGTAACACAGAGGGATATCAGTATTTTTTGAACCTTATTTATAAAGTGCTTTTTTTAGAAAGTTCATCAACTAGTTGTACACTGTTATACATATATATTTTTTTATTTTTTTTATTACAGCTTGATGCCACACCGTATTTTCATTACAAGTATGGCATTTTCAGCATGGATATCGGTAGCCCAAATTTCGCAGGCCGACCATAGATATCGGGTGTGCGTCGGCAGGGGATCGAACCTCAGACCATGTGCATGGTCGGCGAGAGTCCTAACCACTGTGCCACCGACGCACAATCACTGTCTAGCACGGGATGTTGCTTCAGAAGGAAGTTTGATGAACGACCAGCAGTTTTAGTAACCATTTGATGCACAGAACACGTTGAACAACTCACTGAAACAACGACCATTGTGACTGGTAGTTTGTCACACAAAGATTTCATAGGCCTGCAGAGAAATATTGTCTTAAAGACTCCTATTGAAATTGCATGCTTATCACTTTCTGTTGGTACCTGTGTAGCCAAGAAACATTACACATATTGCGTTACTCCGCCATAATTTACCCATTTAATTCGTATTTAAGTTTTCTAATTTTGGGTTATGAGTAATACTCACTAACTATACTTGAGTTTAGCTATCACTATCTCGTGGATTAATTCTTTTTGGCTTAGTGTTGGTTTGCAGGGATTCGATTGGTCACAGGACTGATCATGAAGTGACATCAGTGACAGAACCACTGGAAAACAAGAAGGGAGTACTAGGCAGCTGTCTGGTCCTAGTGCTTGGGACTCTTCAGCAGTGGGCGCCCGTCAGCCGGGGTTTGAACCCAGGACCTTCGGGATGTGAGACGAGCTCGTACACGATTGAACCGCTGGAACCATGAATTCTACCTTCTCCCAGTGGTTCCCTAACTGATGTCAGCTAGTAACCAGTGAAATTCCTGGAAGCTCACTAGCAACTAGCCCTCTACATGAAGTAGCCTTGGCCCTGATGGTATACCTGCATCTGTTCTAAAACAATGTGCAGATGCTTTATGTTCTCCACTAACCAGCATCCTAAATGCTTCTTTCTCCAAAAATATCTTACCTGTTGCATGGAAAGACATCAAAATTGTCCCTGCCCCTAAGCCTGGAAATAGCAAGAACGTAAAGTTAAGACTCATTGCCACCACTTCCCCGTTTCTAAAGCTTATGGAAAAACTAGTAATTTTTAAACTTGAACCCTCCCTTAAAAGTTTTGAAGACCCCAAACAATTTGCCTATAGACAGGATAGGAGCACTTTAAACGCTGCAGCCGTCTTACACAACAGTATCGTCTCATAATTAGATAAAGATGCCAAATACGTCGACTGCACGTTTCTCCACTTCACTTCTGCTTTCGAGTCTGTACCTTGATGTCTATTGCTAAATAAGCTCTCTACGACAAAAACCGAGTCCCGGGTCACTAACTGGTTGCATTCCTACTTCTCTAACAGAATGCAATACACCGTATACAAAGGTAAATCCTCCTCTGCTGCTCTGACTGAAGCTGGTGTCCCCCAAGGTGCTGTACTCTCCCCACTTCTCTTTTCTTTCTTTCTATATGACTTACCATCTTCAAATGACATCAATTTTGTCAAATATGCTGACAACCTGACAGTATTTTTGCCTGTCAAATGTCAAAGTGACTGCTCTAAACTAAATGGCTTTCTGTCAAAAATCAGCGAGTGGTCCAAGGAAAATGGTCTTACCTTAAACCCCTCCAAATGCCGAACAGTCATTTTCACCTTTAGGCATAAATCCGACCTAAACAAACTGGTTTACTCTCACGAGGTATGCAATATAGACGGCAGTGAAATATATAAATATCTAGGCGTCATTCTATCTGCTGATCTTCCCTGGTCATCTCATATCTTGATGTGATTTCTAAGAAAATATTCCGTCTTACCTTCTGCATCAAGAAGGTAAGACATTCTGGAATAACCCAACCCAACCCTTACTCCTACAATTCGTTAACTCTCGCATTCTGCATTCCCCCTTAGTTTTTCCCGGGCTACTGAAGAAAGACTATAACATATTACTCAGGATGTTAAAGGTTGTCATCAGGGTAGGCAACGTGCCACTTAACCAGCTTGTTAATATACTGGTTGACAAGCAAATGGACTCATGTGAAAAATGGGCTAAATCCATTCTATCTAACTCACACCACCCTCTTCACTCACAACTCTCCCCTTGCATCTCATCAGGCAGAATCAGAAGTCTATATAGGAAACTATATGCTCGCACCAGCAAGTACAAAAACTCAACCATACCCTACTTAGCTCGTGTTCTGTGCGATAAAGAAAGCATTAGGCGTGACACCTATAATTCATTAAATAGTCAGTAGTACAACTGGATCTCGTCTTTCCAACTCATATCATTTATAGGTACAACGTTTTCTTTCTTTCTTTTCCTTTTCTCTCTCTTTTTTTCTGTTATCTGCTGCTTTGTTTCTTTCTCTCGCTTACGCCAGTAAATATGACAGCACCTACTTTTCTAACACCTTCAAACACTGTTTCAGCTTTACCTTTGCTACCGACATGCCAATGTGTTGTTGTAATAATGAACTGTGGTTTCCTTAATCTATGTAGAATTCTATTTATTGATAATGTACTAACTGGATGCAATACTGTAGTAAAAATGCTGAGAATTCCATTCTGTATCACAAGTACTGTTTTGGAATAAAGCATATTATTATTATTGTTATTATTATAAAAGCAGCTTCAATTTACAAAAACAAACTTACCCTAAGGAAAAGTAATTCCTCTTCTGCTCGATGTGTACGAATTAACGGTCTCAGAGCCAACATTAAACGGAACCAGGGATCGAACATAACCTTTGCATTCTTCTGAATACATCTCACTGCATCATCTTCAGTCTTTTTGAATTAGAAAAGAAAAAAGACAGAAATGCGTGGCGGTTAAATCATTTGTCTGTGAATACCGGAAGAGAATTAACAAAAAATAAATGAAAAAAGGAAAATTTGGTTTGCGGGGGATTTCAACACACAGCCTACGGATAGCTAACCATAGCTCCACTTGTTAACCACGTCATTCTTTTACCTCGGCTATCAACAGCCTATGTTCTTCAAATATATGATAATTTTTCCGGATATTTAGGTCTTGATGAAAACAAAACACGTAGCTATTTTTGGCAAATTCATTCTCCTCTTCAGCCGCACAATCACATTTATATACGGAAAAAATCCCCATTTAGACATTTGGAAAACAGAAAGATTGAGCGAAGAAATATTCACTTTTCAATTAGATCCTCATATCTGGCTCTACTCTAATATATATATATATATATATACATATAGCATTTGTATTACAATACACAACAATTTACCAATCAAATGGCACTGATATGTTTGTTAACAATAATTAGTCAGTGTCAAAATGTCAATGAGTTGATAATTAACGAAGAAAATCAATACAAATTTAAAAGGTAGAAATGGATAGTCTGTCTGTCTGTTTTCGACATAGAACTTTGCACATATGTGCGGCAGTTCAAGTCGCCACACTCCTTCCTTGTAGCACACAAAGTAAGAGAAGAAAGTAGGAGAAATGCATGATACAGACAGTAAATGGAGGTGTGAAACAAAGGAATAGTAATAACGAAGAACAATATAGTTTCATTGGAAATCAAAAGTCACAAGGAGTGGATGCATCTGCTCCACTGAGAACGATTTTGAGCCATGTGACCAATTGTTTCCGACCTTTGGCATTTAACGTCCCGAGGACCCCAACCAGTCTGGAAGTCTACACCTTCCTACGTGGCTTAGTCTAACTGTTGTAGATTTCATTGATTGGTGCCATGTTTTGGTTTGACCACCTCTAGCTCTTTTCCAGCCTGACCCTATTTCAGCTAACATTGCCCGTCGGTCGAGGAAGGCGATGACTAGGCATTCGTAACACATGTCCTAACCATCTCGATCGATGTAATTTCACAGTTCCGTCGATTAATTTCCCCTCCTTACCTAGCACTTGACGCCTAACCTCAGTATTGCCCACCTTATTATACCACTTCACACAGGAGATAGAACGCAGGCACCTATGATCAAAGACAGCTAGCCGGCCTTTTCATGTCTTCCAATCTCAATGGCCAGGTCTCACAGCTAGCCATAAAGTAGGACGGATCGGACTGCTGAGCAGTACACACGCGCTTTGGTCGATAGCCAGCTGGATATCACGTCTACGCCAGAGACGGTGTACACTGGCGTATTCGAAACTAGCCCTCTGTATTCGTGCTGAGATTTCTTCAGAGATCAACCCGTTGTGGCTGTTGGTACTTCCCAAGTAAGTGAAGTGGTCACCGTGCTCTACCACTTCACTTCCTATTTCTAATCTAAGGGTCGGTGTAGAAATAGATAGAATAAATTAATTTTACAAGGATAACACGTAATTATTCCAGATTACTGTAACTCTCAGCTCTTCAGATGTGTTTTACCTGAGACAATAATAGATTAATCTTCAAGTATTGGTTTGGTAGGGATTTTTGTTTAATTGCATGTCCATTACTCGCAGGTTTTCCAATGGTTCTATAACTAATTTCAGCTCATGATGAATATCCTGTAACCAATCAAATCCCTACAAACCAACACTTGAATATCAATGAGATGCTCACTAGCGACTTGCCCTATTCAGGAGGGTAGTTACCTGGGGTTCTAGTGAGAAGTCGTGACCAGTGAGTGGGATACAGCAAGTCGGGTGTGAGGACTAATGCTCACCGAAGACATTGGCTAGTGGTTGCACTATGTCGTGAGCTGGCAGAAGCTGGAATTCATGGGCTGGCCGTTGAATTCGTTGCCGGTGCTTAATGGTCTACGAGCTGGCTTGCCGTGTAATCTAAAGATCCTTGGTTCGAACCACCATCGATGAAGAGCCCCAAACTAGGACGAAACGGCTGTCCAGTACTCCCAGCTGGTTTTCTAATGGTCCTCTAACTGATGTCAGCTCATGATGAAACTCTGAAATCAGTTTGGAGATCTTTTGCACCGAAGTATAAATAACAAAACTAGAATTTTCAGCACAAATGGAAAGTCATTTCTTCTATATGGGTCAGGAACTTGGCCAGCGCGTGATGAACAGCATTTAGGACAGGTTGTAGATATTTTATCAACAGCTGCCTTCACTGGCTCCATAATGAAAATAAAATGGCCATCGATAAAGAATTAGCAATTAGGAATTGCGGGAAGGGACCTGTAACTCAACAAATATTTTGAAATAAATGGAGATGGATTGGGCACACTCTGCGGAGTCTATTGACTGACATCGAATGCCAGACATACTCTCAAATGGGAAACGATAAGTGGGTCGTCCGAGGCTGACATGGAGGAGATCGTGTGGCTAGGACGTGGCGTCAGCATGGTAGGACAGCAGATAAAACAGGACAAATTGGAGACGCGCTGTTGAAGTCATATGTTCCACTCGAAACCCAAGAGAACAATAGTAACAATTATGGAATCAATTCATGAATTTAAGTTTCACTCATTCACAGTCTGTCTCCCAAGTGATTTTCTAGACAATCTCACCGACAATGCACAAAGGATTTCTTACTTTTCAATCAAACTTTGTAACATATTCTGTCTGACCAACCATCTGATTTTATATTTAGGTTAAATGTAAATTTTTGTTATATTTCTAGTAGAAATGAATAAAGCGTGTATAGATAGCAATGACTTAATTCAAACAATTTCTACCTTTTGTTATTTAGATTTTTTTCTTGAAATGTTATTATAATAAATTCACTCTGGTCATCGTTTTCTTTTCACATGATTATCTATAAACTTGAGTTAACTTGACTCTTTTTTGACGAAAATGTGAATGTGTTAAGATTTTCAACTCAATATTAAATATTTAAATGACCATATGAAAATAGTTTCTAAACTGTTTCCGATGTTGTCTGTTAGGGCACTGATTTCAAGTTCAGACGGAGACATCATGAACACCAGGTACAATAAAGAGAAACTGAAAACAGTTCATGAAATTGCAATTTAATGGAGACGTTGTTAGTGAAGTCTTACATCTGAGATTATCGAGAGCGATACAAAACGGACTTATACTGCCACCACCACCCTTTGTTTGTCATTTTCCAGCTGCCGACCAATTACGATTGCTCAAATGAAAGATAAGCTACCTAGCTGTGCCACTTCTATGTGTATATATAAATTTAGTTGTTCCTGTGGAGAGAGCTGGCTATATAGGGTGAACAACTAGACAGCTTAACAAACGCATTATCACTGAGCATCTTCCTTCATGGTTCGAAAAAGGTCAAATAAAATCTATACGAAGTTCTATTTTGGCTCATTTGATTGATGACAGTGGTCACCAAGTGGACAAAAATTGGGCTTTCAAAGTTATCTATTGCATTCCATCGAGCCTTTCGAACGGAATCAGAACCCGTCTTTTACACTTAGCCGAAGCTATGGGAATTCGAGAGAACAATCCTAGTCTTTGCATACAGCAAAAGAAGTTTGTTCTACCTTTGTCTCTCCCTTGATTGCCTAGGTGAATTCTATTCAAAACCCTCCCACCCTTTCTTATTCTCCATCTCCGTACTTTTATGATATTTATTTAAACTCTGATTATCTGTCCACTTCACCTTTTAAGATTTGACCTAATTTATTTATATATTACTACCTTTGTTATTCTTATCGCCACCTGCATAAACCTTATAATCAATATTTTGTTATCATTATAGTTATCGTTATTAATTACTTTCAAAACATTCACCACATAATAATTATTACTTGATCCACAAAATCACCGTCACTAGTTAAGAATTTTTACATATAAATCTATATAAATTAGAGTAAAGCCTGAAGAAGATCTAATTGAAAACAACAATATAGTTCACTTATATGTCTGGATCATAGAACGTTGCAACAGCTGCAAAATTCCTGTAATGCAGAAAGTGGTGGGAGTTCAACTTCACTCGCAAATAATGAAAAAGGAGGATCATTCTGCAGTGGCGATGCGTTAACACGTGTCCCAAAGATCACTGGAACACTGAGCGTATTACTTAATGCCGCCAATGTAGCTGACTGGGCTTCTCTTCAAAGAGCTAATGTTGACTTACAAAATATTTATGAACGACAAGTATATGGGAATGATAAATTTTATGGTCGAGAAACGAAGAACATTTCGCTGGTGTCATGTTAAATTCGTGTTAATTGGGGATATTGCATGGAGGATTTCATCATGAGCTAACATCAGTTAGAGAACCACTGGAAAACCTGGGAGCACTGGACAGCCGTTTCTTCCTAGTTTGGGACTCTTCACGGTACGCACCAACCCACCACGGTTCGAAACCAGGACCTTCTGGTTCCAAGGCGAGATAGTAAACCAGTGAGCCACTGGGACCCAATCCAATGACCAGTGCATGAATTCTAACTTCTGCCAATTCATAACATAGCGCGACCATTTCGCAATGTCTTCTTCGATGAGTTACTGCCTCATCTTCAACCTGCTGTGCCCTACTGGTCACGGCTTCCCACTAGAACCCCAGGTTAACTGCCTGAATAGGGCCAGTCGCTAGTGAGCATCAGATTAATTTTCAAGTATTGGTTTTGTAGAGATTTTGTTTGATTCCATGAAGGATTTCCATTGGTTCTCTAACGAATGTCAGCTTATAATGAAATCCTCCATGCAATCAAACAAAATCCCTACAAAACCAATACTTGAAAATTGGGGATATTAACACCTGATAAACAAGAGCTTTTATTTAGGTCACCTTATAGTAGTACCCTAATCAGAATTGCAATATATCATGACAAAAGTGTGTCAAACACTTGGATATTTTGGCCCAGATTAGACATAAGCTGCTCTTCAGAATCATTTTGGTGGCCATTGTTACACTGTGGTTTTCAGGAGACTT